TTTTGTGTTCCTTGTTGCGATACATTGTCAAAGAAACTGCTCAAGCAGTAAAGATGAGTAAGCAAAGCACACATGAGCAGTGTTTGTTTTAAAGAAATGAAGCTTATGTGTAAATTCAATAAGGAAGATCTGTGGTCTCACATCTGTATGCTCTAGGGGTGGGTTTTGATAATCGCTTTTCTGATTAAAACCGCTTGAATAAAGCAAAATCAATTAATTAAAATCCTGAATCAAATTTTAAATATAAATTTATATTGCTGAAAACTCCAGAATCCCAGGTTAAACCTCACAAAACTATTTCAACAACCACCAAACAGGTAAAACAGTAAATGAAAGCAGGTAAACGGATCCCAAAAAAAGACGTAAACACAAAGTGTGGATCGGACACATCAGAATCAGTTAGCGGCATGTCTGTGCCCGTGTACTTGCCATTGGGGCTGAAAGCCGACAGCTCACTGATTCTGATGCATCGGGTCCGCGCTTTGTGTTTTGCGCTAGATTCTGAAGCTGCAGGTTTCATCTCTCTCCAACCAAAACTGACTGAACCAGCAGCAAAAGAAGATCCAAACCACGATTTACAATTCACTTCACATAAACATCGTCATGAAGTCCCTCTTGCTTGGGGTTTGTTTGCACTGTGTTCTGTAAAATCTTACTTGGCTTCCGCCAGAATAAAATCACACTTCCTGCACAGCCCTCACGCTCTCTCTCTCTCTGTATTTCAAGAACAGTTTTCCATCACATCTCTGTTTTCTGCATAATTCGCTTGCTTGTTACCAACCAGTCTATCGTTGTGTACAGTGCTGTCGGCCGTTTGTTTGTTTGTTTTTTATTTAAATGATTTCTGACAAGAAAACCTAAATTTCTGCCGTTCAGTACTAAAGAAATGTAAACTTTTAAAAATTATGTGGAATTGCAAAACGCTTAGGTGTGTCTCTAATAAAACCTCTGTAACTTTGCTCTGCTAACTTCAGCAGCATCAGGTAATGTTCATGTGTTGGTTCATGATTTTCTTCAGTTTTTGATCTACTGCAGAGTATTTTAAAGGTTATCTGCTATAAAGCCAGGCCATGAAAATCCCCTTCATGTTTTTCTGTGTTTTATCCTCAGTGACTTTGATACAAAGACATCTGCTGTGATGCTCACACCTCTGATGAACTCTCACAAGTGTCAGTACTGATAAACGTTTAGAATTATATAATTTATGATTTTCTGAGCCAAAATTACCAGGATTTTGGGAATCCCGAAATTTGAATCGAATCGGAACCTTGTGAATCGGAATCAAATTGATTCTAGAAATCAGTGAGGTTACCCAGCCCGAGTCTGCTCCCAGGTGCTGCCGACTAAATCTAAGCTTTATCATTCCCACTTTCCCACGCTGTCAAGCTGTTTGTGTCATCACTGGTCTAGTCCAATCACCTTCCCCAGGGCAATCAGCATTCATGCCGAGTACTTTAAATCTCACTGTGGATTTGTCATTCTCCTTTGCAGACTCCTCTGTGCATCTTGTTCATGTCTTTGTTATGTTTGTGCTATTAGTTGCTCTTATTCATCCCGATCATTTGCAACATAATATACAATCCTGTCATCATCACTGTCCTGGAAACATTCATATAGAAGCAGAATTTGTTGATCCCGCATCACATTATGCACAGATACAACCACCTGGCAGTTCTCGCTTCAGCAATGCCAATCTAGCTCTGACCTTGGTGCTGTGCAGTTACTTAATTACAGGAGCTTGTTTCAGTTTTCACATCGGCAAGCCTTTACTGCCTTTGGCAAGTTTTGGCCAGCACATCAGCAACAGCACACTAATTCCTCCCTCCCTTGATTTTCAATTGTCTTTTATGAGAGCAAGAGCCAGTCATCTTAATAATGGCTGGAATGTTCTTTATGTTATATTAATCCAGTCTCTATATATTTCACATCAGTTTATACTTGCTTCTCCTGGCGAGTCTGCGTTAATGAGCTCAAATTCACAGTCCAGTCTCTCAGCCTGATCATTTGTCATCTGTGTGCGCTCAGCATTCACTCATACTCTATTTGTTTCAAAATTTTCAGTAGGATCACCCTTTAAACTAACTACACAGATAAATGTATTTTTAGTCTCCTGCATAGGGACACTGCACTGCTATAACACTGGCTAAGGGCTTTTACGTTTTTCACAACCTTGTTATAAATTAGTGAAACTTGTTTATCTTCGTTTAATCAGAACACACACTACATCCGTATTCGTCATAGGGTGTCGGCTGATATGTTAAGCTTGAAATTTTATCAGTAAGAACAATTTATACATAATCTATATTCTGTTCATCAATTAATCATGTTAATTCTTTCTAATTGAATGGCCTAGAATGATAGTAATTTTGCTAATAAGATATGGCTGATGGTATTTGTATCATAGATGTATCTGAAGCCATGCAATAGGGGGAAAAAGAGCCCGCAATCACCTTGAGTTTGTCCACAAGAGTGAAGTGTGTTCAGCCCTGAAAAGGAAGTTAACACTTCAGATATTATAAAACTGACAAAAAAATGTTGATATGAAAATTAACAATGAATTTACAACTTGCTGGTGGTTCACTGATGACAGTTTTGTGTGTAATTAAAAAGGTCACTACTAAGTGTTATGCCTACGCCAACTAGCCTGCATTAACTAACAGGTGATCGATAACTCTCAGTGAAATGGTTAAACATACCAAACTATCTATCCTCTCTAAGAAACTTATACAAGAATTAAAACAGTACAATGTAAATATTTAGTGTACTCACAAAATAACCCCAATACACAGAACACAGCATGTCCCATCCTCACATCCAACACTGAAAATGTCTCTGTACTTGTGAGAAATGTTTCCTCTTTCATGCTCAGATGCATATGAACATGTTAAAAAAAGAACTGTGTGCAACAGGAAGCTGTATCTCTTATCAGTGTGAATAAGCTTGCTGCACAGTCCTTTTCTTGAAAAAGATTATCTCTTCACCCTTTCCTGTTTTAAAAAAAAGTGCCGTCACAACTGCAGAT